GTGATGATGTTGAGTCATTGAGAGGTACTGGAGATTGAGGAAAATTGTCACTTGTGATACACTTTTTGATGCAAAAAAAATAATTTGATTTTATATATGATTTTATATATGATGATTTGTACATATTATTTTGGTTTTCATGTTTGACAAAGCCAAACCTTGTTTTCTTAATTTTAAATTTTTGAACTGATACCATTAACTGTTAATGCTTGACTTAATGAAGCTTCACCCAAAACTTGACAGCACTTTTTACCATTGACTGCTATTGCACTTTTGACATTTTAAACTGACTTAACTGTTTCCTATCGTTGTTATTGTTGGAGTCTTTGTTGCTTGATTTTTTTTAAAGATGCTGTTAGCTGCAGTTTGCTATCAGCATCTTTCAATCTTTTGAATATTTCAAGTTTATTGAGACTCCTCTTCTCTTTGGACATTTTTTACATTTCTCTGATTCAAAGTGTTGTATATAAATTAATTGTTGTAGCAAGCAATTGGAATGATTGCAAATGTTTTTCAACGTTTTGAATTTCTTTTTGAATAGCCAGTAATACTACAATGTTAAAGGTTGGTTGCTTGCAAGTTGATTTTAAAACTAATGCTATTTAATGTATGCTGATGCTAGCATAAATTCAAAAGACAATGGCTAAGAGTATTTACTGGTGCTGGAGGTGGTGATACTGACTGTAGATTTGGAGGTGAAATGATTAAGAATCAGGTTGAGATGATAGTGTGATAGTAGTATGTAATTTTGATTTTATTGATGTTGAGTGGAAACAAGCCAATATTTTGAAATCTAGTGACTACATGCATCTAAAAACTTAACCAGGTTTGAAAAGGTTTGCTTGTAATTGACTAAAGCATGCTTTTGATGAATTACTAAACTTTGTTTCTGCACAAAAATATTGTACCAAACTCTTTAATACAAATTGCACAAGAAAATCTCATGGCATTATACACCAACATCTAGTACCTGCAGATATATACCCTTAATATAGTTAAGCCTATTTAATTAAATAGTTAATTAATAAAAGTCTTATTTACCAAGTTAACAATCAACCCCATAGTTTACCGTTTCTGTTTTGAACTTATAACTTTTTACATTATACAAAGTTATACAAGGATATGTTTTTAAGTTCTCTGATGTAAAGTTTCATTTCCAAGAGTTTTATATCCGTTTTTCATCAAAAAATAAAAAACAAAAATAGTTAGATTGCAAAAAGTTTAACAATTAATCGAAAAAAAAAAGTATTTATTTTTCATCAAAATTTTTATTATCTGATTCAGAAAAAGATTTTCTGCAACATCATTGAAAAATATTTGCAAAAGTTTACTCAATTAATTAATTAAGAAGAAACTAGATTCAGGAAGAAACTAGATTCAGAAGAAACTAGATTCAACTAATTAAGAAGAAACTAGATCCAGGTCAGGTCAGGTTTATCCTGCTACTGGTAACATGTAACCCAGTACAATCTGCTTTATGTCCTGCTGCCTTGTAGGATATGCCTTTTTAGGCAAAGACTAGGAGATGCAAACTCCGACATAAAACACCCCCTGCCTTGGGGCTCTTGGTTGAATAAAGGCTAGAGATGGTGTCTCGATAAAAATACTCATCTTGGGCAGATGTTAAATGCATCCTGCTGCTGTCTTGTAGAAGGCCTCCTAGGCAAAGACTTGATGGTTATCTTCCTTTAATTCGTAAAGACTCCAATAGTCACATGCTTGGCCTAGGCATTTACATTCGTAAGAAATCACCCATTTGTCGGGAAACTAGGTTTGAATCCACAGACTACTCTTTTATGTGCTTTCGTTTAGCACCACTTCACTCTATCACCTTTCTCTTTGTTCTATATCGCTCTCCCTCATCTCAAGACTGCACTCTTCTTGACGTTATTTCTGATTATATTGACCAAGCCCTCATTCTTTATCCATCAGCCAATATTGTTGTTGTCGGTGACTTTAATGTTCATCACACTGAATGGCTTGGCTCTAGTGTCAGTGACTCCGCAGGCATTAAGGCCTACAATTTTTGTCTTTCTCAATCCCTAACTCAAATAGTCAACTTTCCAACTCGCTTTCCAGACAACCCGAGTCATTTACCTTCTCTACTCGACTTATGTCTTGTTTCTAATCCTAGTCAGTGCTCAGTTTCTCCACACTTACCCTGAGGTGCTTCTGATCATGGTTTGGTCTCTCTAAAACTATTATCTCATTCTTCTTTACCATCAGAATCCCCCTATCATTGTACATACAACTACCTTAAAGCTGACTGAGACTCTTTCCGTGATTTTCTTCAAGATGGCCCTTAGGTAGAAATGCTTTGTCTTCCTGTTGACAAATGTGCTTCTTACATAACTTCGAGGATTCAGGCTGGCATGGAATCCTTTATTCCCTCTCAACGATTCCAGGTCAAGCCTCACTCTTCTCCATAGTTTTCCTCACATTGTGTTGCTGCAATTGCTAATCAAAACCATTACTTCCATATCTATCAGCAAAACAGTTTTCCAGAAAATAGACGTCTGTTTATTACTGCTAAGAACCATTGTAAAAAGCTTTTGTCTAACGCCAAAGCCTGCTATTCTCAGATCATGAAATCTTGTATTTTATCATAAAAATTAGGCTCTCGTGGCTTCTGGAGAATCTTTAATTGTATCAATAATAAGGGCAAGTTTGTAATTCCACCTCTTTTGTATGGTTTAGACTTTGTCACCTCACCTAAAGACAAAGCTGAATTGTTTGCCAAGAACTTTTCATCAATATCATCTCTGAATTCCACTAGTTGCGTTCTACCTAATATATCCGTCAAACAGGTTGATTCACTGCTTGACATCCGTATCACTCCAGCTTCTGTATCTAAGGTGATTTCCTGCTTAGACTCTTTTTCAGCTTGCAGCCCGGACAACATACCTGTTATAGTCTTGCAGAAGTGTTCTCCGGAGCTGTCGTCTATCCTTTCAAAACTATTTAACAAGTGCTTATCAGAGTCTTGTTTTCTGCTCGAAAGTAGCATCTGTTATCCCTATTTTTAAAAATTCTAGAGAGCAATCCGATTTGTCTAACTACCGTCCCATTAGTCTTCTTCCTATCATAAACAAGGTTTTTGAACCTTTAATTAACAAACACTTAATCTCGAATCTCATAACCTACATTCTGATCATCAATAATGGTTTCGATCTTCTCGTTCTAGGGCTGATTTGCTAACAGCAATAACCAATAGGTTTTATTGCGCATTAGATAAAGGTGGAGAGGTTAAGGCCATTGCTCTTGACATTTCTAAAGCGTTTGATAAAGTTTGGCATGCTGGTTTTCTCCATAAGCTTTCTTCTTACGGTGTATCTGGAAACATCTTTAATATTATCGAATCCTTCCTTTCCAATCGTAGTATAAAAGTTGTCCTTGATGGACAGCACTCTTCTTCTTATTCTGTAACCTCAGGGGTTCCTCAAGATTCAATCCTTGGCCCTATACTCTTTTTAATTTACATTAACGATCTTCTAGATTTTCTCACATCTAAGGTGGCATTGTTCGCTGATGATACTACCATTTATTCTTGTCACGATAAGAAGCTAACTCCCTCTGATTGCAGGGGGCGTTTGAGCTTGAAAAGGATCTCACTTCTGCTACAGCATGGGGCTTACAGTCTCAGGTGAACTTTAATTTCAGATTTGTAAAGCACTTATATTTTTCAATAAATAATATGGATAGTGAGAGATGTGAGTTCAATACCAAATAAACATAACAAATTTAAAATAAAGCAAAATATGTAAATGATAATATAAAATAATAAGAATTATTCTAATAGAAAACCATGAAATACTGTTAAAAGTTACTAAAATTGGTTTTTGGATAAATAAACTCAAGCCGATAAGATATAGAAATATATATGAAATTATAAAAACAACAAAACCATATAAAGTTTAATACCGCCATAGATACCTAGATCGAATGTTGTTAAACAATCAAAAAAACAGGTTTTAAATAAATAGTAATTAGGATGCGGTAGTGGTGTAGTGGTAGAGCGCTGGCTTCATAAACGAGTGGTTCGGAGTTCGATCCCCACCACGTCCCTGGTAGTACCGCGCTCGTTTCTCCGCGCAGCGGCCTTGTTCATCAAGGTTCGTATTTCGGAGTTATAGAGTTGAGAGAGGGTTATAACCACAAATAAGTAGCCTCCTCGCCTGTAGTGGTCTTCTCAGCCTTAAGGAGGTAAATTAAATTAAAAAAAAAATTAAAAGTTAAGAGCAAAAGAATGAACATTGTCATTAATATTTTGTTACATCTTATATTTCATTCTACCCCCTGTTTTACCTACATATTATGAAAATAACAACATATTTTCTCATAATTATTTTATTATGAAGAGTAAGAATTATTGTTTCCTGGAAAAATGATGATGTCTGGAAGTTTAGACAAATGTTGAATGTGAACAATTTGATCAACTTTATATTATGTAATTATAATTAACTTTATATTATGTAATTATAATTAACTTTATATTATGTAATTATAAGTAACTTTTTATTATGTAATTATTTGAATTATTTTGAATTATTTGTAGTTATTGTTATTTTTTAAAAATGTTTATCATTATTATTTCTTGATAAATTAGGACTATTGTTTCGTGGAAAAATGATGTTGCCTAAAAGTGCAGACAAATGTTGCGTAAATGGGAACAATAAATGTGATCAACTTTGTCAATTTGCAGTGAACAAACTTGGAGCAAGTTCCTCTTTATCTGTTAATGCTGGATATATTGACAAGAAATTTTTTTTGGAGGCAAAATATAATGGTTATTTGTCACTTGGCAATGTTATAATAAAGTCAATAGCTATTGGTGTAAAGGTTACAAATGTCCTTCAGCTTTATATATGTGGAGAATTGACATTAAAACTTGAAAAAGAGGATTTGAATTTTAAAGGTTTAATTATTTATATATATTTAAATATTTTAATTTTATATTTTTACATTATACCTTATATTAAAAATTAAAACTTGTTAAAAAAAAAGTATAATTAGTGCTGCAGGTTCATGTAATTTCTAAAAACTTAATGTATGATTAGTTTTTGTGTCAGATTTTCGATAATGATAAATTTTGGATTAAGACTTTGGATTTAACATTTTGCTTATTTATATCCTTAATGTTAGACAAAAAAGTGTTCAAATAATGGAACAAGAATTAGAGGCCATACTATTTCTATTTTTTTATATCAGATATTTCTTCCCTGATGGATATTTTATAATTTTGTATAATGTGGTATCGTTTGAGAATCAACACCTTGTGTTTGTATGTGATATGGTTTGAGAATTAACACCTTGTGTTTATATGTGATATCATTTGAGGATCAACACTTTGTGTTTGTATGTGATATCATTTGAGAATCAACACCTTGTGTTTGTGTGTGATATCGTTTGACAATCAACACCTTGTGCTTGTATGTGGAATCGTTTGAGAATCAACACCTTGAGTTTTTATAGAGAAGTAAGAATATGAGTAAGAGTGTATTTGTACCATGTGGATTTTCAGAAATTTTCAGTTATGAAAATACTATGGTATTTCATTGGTATTTTATGATCACTCTGATTTAATTATTTTCATTATTTTTTTTAATAATGAACACACATAAAATTATGGCTTTTGTCTAATATTAAAATACAAAACTGCAATCAATATATATATATATATATATATATATATATATATATATATATATATATATATATATATATATATATATATATATATATATATATATATATATATATATATATATATATATATATATATATATATATATATATATATATATATATATATATATATATATATATATATATATATATATATATATTTATATATTTGTGTTAATTAATGTGATTAAAGATATGTATAAGTTCAAAAAGTTCTTGACCAAGACTACTGTTATTGACCAATCCACTATCCAGAGTGGTAGTTCTCTTATTAAATACAAGTTTGAATAATTTAAAAACTATTAGCACTTAGTGATGATAAGCAACATTAAAGAAATTGATGGAAACCATCATGAATATACCAATACCAGGGTGGCAATTAAATTTGAAATGAGTACAATAGATACACTTGATAAACTGAGAGAATCAAAACATCCAGTATGATCAAAGATGCACTGTGAATAGCCATAATTGAAATAAAGCAACAAGATGTTATGTGATCAAATCAATACTTTAATTAACAGACTTTCAACAATAAATACAATAATAATAAATGCCAAGTCATTCTAACTTGACATCACTAAGCAGAACCAAATTGCAGGGATATTCCAGATTTTAAAAAATGATACAATAATAGTTAAAAAATGTAAAAACTACTTTGAAATAAAACTTTTAAAAAAAAAGAATTAAAATTAAAAAATAAAAGTTCTCTATGGAGGATTTGACTCCACAACTGTCAGCCGCGCCTTTTAAGAGTATTATTGTAGCATCCACTATTTTAATTATTTGAAAATTAATATATTTCAACGTATTTCATGTCCAAATAATGTTTATGTTATGTGCACATTATTTGTACATGATTTGATACTTAAAAATTTTTTTCTTAAGAATCCAGAAAAATTAAAATTTTTAAAAAATATTTTCTCGATTTTTTTAAGAAAAAATTGTCCGGATTTTTTAAATATGACCTGGATAATCCCTGATATTTTTAACTTAGCAGCAACCAAAATAAGGACAAAAAAGGAGAAAGAGTCAAATATAAATATATACTATGATAAATAGGGCCCAATGAATCAACAAACAGAAGCAATGAGGAACTTGTCAAGAAGTTTTTTAATGCCATAAAAGTGAGCAAAAATGAGATTTTACATGTCTGTCAATACAAAAAGAAAGAAAGGAGACATTATAAATCTTGAAATCATTATTAAGATACAACAGAGCTGGCCGGAGTCATCTAAGTTGTACTTAAATCTGAAATCTAAAACAAGGCACTGAAAAAGGGTAACTGCTACAACAAAAGAGAAGTCACATGAGTCTACACACAAGATTAGCAAAGATCAATTTGACAAAATCAAATCAGTCACTGCTACCAGCAATAACACTAATCTAAACTCTGCTGCAACCTCTGATGCCATACCAACCATGACAAGCACAGCTCAAGCCTAAACCTCACAACCCTGCCTCAACACACATTATCCTCAAACCTATGCCACCACCAATAGAGCCAATTGCAAACAACTCAACTTTTAATAAAATAATCTGTGATTACCAAAAAATTGCCAAACAAGATAACTAATGGTGAGAGTAGACACAAAAGAAATCTGACATGTTTACCAACATGTCAGATGTTTACCAAAATGTCAGAAGTTTACCAAAATGTCAGAAGTTTGCCAATATGTCAGTTGTTTACCAACATGTCAGACATTCACTACAAGGCTATCAAAATGCATAAAAAACAGAGAAGGTAGAGGAGCAATTGTAGTAATATGCATAAAAAGTGATATACTAGCCAAAACAGATACAAAGTAATTGTACTCATTAGACATAATTCAAGTATGGTGAGTTACAAAGTTAGGCAAAGAGTCAATTATCCTGGGTTGCATTTATTCTTCACATGGAAACAACAAAAAAGTGCTTGAAAAAGTAATATAAACAATCAATACAGCAAAGCAAAGTATCTCAAAATTGGAATGCTCATCCAATGGCAACTTTAACTTCAGCCACATGACATATGATGAGTTGAATTAACACATTAACAGCATGTGTAAAAAGACCATTATAGTGACACGATGTTCAAATATAAAATTTCTTACACATATGGTAACTTTTCATACTTATCAAAGTAACAGAGAATGACCAATAATCATATTCAACTTAAATAAGTATATCATCACTTATAAATCAGAATCATTGAACTACATGAAGGTTACTCAGTAAGCCACACATCAACAGTTAAAGAACATTGCTTCATCATTGGTTCATTTCTAAGAAACAAAGTCTGGATCACAGACAAAAAAAAAAAGAAAGGCACACATGGATTAGAGCAAACTATGATGATATCTCAGCATAAATAACAGCCTTTGATTGAACAAATTTTGATTGATAATTGTGAATTACAATTATAAATTACTAGAAGACAAAGCTATCAAAATCCACAATGACATAATAACAAAACACATACCTGCAATTACATTACTTTTCAAGATCAAAAAAGAAATGTGGAACACCTCACAAGTAAAAGCTATGTGGTTGAGAGTAGGTTGTTACTATAAAAAATCAATTAAATTGGAAAAGTTTATGACTTTCCATAAAAATAAACCCATCATTTGCTCATACATTATACTAAGGCCAGTTAGTTTGAGGTTATTCTTGACCAGTTTTGCAGCAGACCTTGTTCCAATTTTTAAATTGTAGAAAAGTGTTAAAAATGTTTAGACATCACTAAATGTAATAATCCCAAATAAAATTTTTTCTGGAGTATTAAAAAAAAGTAAAATCCGATGATTTTGACCAGTTGAACTAAGTAGGTACTCATTTTTCATTATCTTTAGACAATGAAAAATTCAGATGGAAAAAGTCCAAAGAAAAATTGTCAGTATTTGTGTTAAAATTTTCAATTTTTTTGAAAGAAAAAGTTCAGTCTCTCTGCATATTAAGAATTAATGGTACATTTTAAATCCTATTCTCAATGATTTTTGTCAGTTAATTAATATTCACTGAAACAAATGTTGATCTCATCAAGTATTTGGGTTGTAAACAATTGAGGTTGAAGGTCTTTATAAAAATGATGTTGACAACTGAAAAGATTTTGAATTTATATTTAAAAAAAAAAGTGCTGTTGGTAACAATTTTTAAATTGTTATGTCAAAATGTGCCTTGGTAACCAACCTAATGCTGTGTCAAAAAAATTAATGAAAATCTGGTATTAGTGGACTTGATTCAGGATTTGAAACCTTTTGCAAAAATTACTATAACAACAACAACAAGCAATTTATTTTCCATTTATAATCATTATTACATTAGTAATAAAAATAATAATAATACAATAATAATAACAAAACATTAAAATCAATTATAATAATAATTATAAAAATATAATATGATAACAAATTAAGTAAGAGTAATAGAAATTTATAATTGTAATTAAAAAAATAACAACAAATGAAAAAAAAAATTAAATAGTAATAAATATTATAATAGTAGTTGTAAGTATAATATTATTTTATGTTAATAATTTATAAGGGTGGCATATAAACCACAACTATTTCATTAGTTCTAAATTTAAAATTTTAAAACTTTTATTTACATGGAAGAAATTTTGAAGCTTTATTTATAAAATCAATGCATGAAGTAGGTTTCTTAACATAATTATGCTAATTATGCAAATACTCTAATAGTTTATAAGTAGAATATTGTTGCAATTGTTAATTTTTAATTAGAGAAAAGTAAATGTGTGGCAGGTAATTTTGAGTTAAATTTTTATATTTAATTGGTATATATATAGAATGTTTAAAAAATGATCATGTTAAAATATTTTTTCAATATTAATTTTTTAATTTTTTTTTTTTTTTTAGTTTTCATAACTTTGAGTTCAAGTGGTGAGTTAGAACTAGGCGGCAAAATGAATAGTATATTAAAAAATCCTTTTGGAGTGCAAAAATTTGCATTGGGTGATCTAGCAATTAGTGCTAAATTACAACTTCCATTTGCAATATCTGGGTTTAGTAAGTATCATTCAGAAAATTGTTTAAATTTAAATTGATTAACAAAACATGAATGTTGTGCTACTTCACTCTTTTTGCAGGTTTCTCAGGTACAGCATGGCTTGGTACTGATGAAAAGCATATTAAAATTAGTATTGCAGTAGGAATAGAAATAAATGGACTAGATAATTATTTTTATGGGTCTCTAAATGAACTTACATTGGGTAAACTGTCTGATACTTTTGGCTACAATTTAAAAAATAATTTCCCAGATTGGATTTTAGAATCAGGTTTTCGCAATCTTAAAATTGGATTTACTACAAATAAAGAAGGTAACCTTTTTTGTAATTTTTATTATTATTATTATTATTATTACTATTATTGCTATAATTATTATTGCTGTTGATAAAGTAATAATAGAGTTAGTGATCAAGCTATGCTACCAATAAATTAGATACCAATATGACTCCAGTCTTATATTCTTAGTGGACTAATAGATTACCTTATCTTCTCAATTAAAAGTTGATCATAAGATAACTAATTACAACAAGGTTAAATGACACAGATAACTTTAATAAATTTACTACCTAATTGAAAGTTAGGTAGTAAATTTATTTAAGATTTGGAAAATAATAAGGTTTCCTGTGGGTTTATTTATAACAGAGAAGATAATAAAAAACTATTAACATAATTTAAAGGCTAATATTTCCTGTTATGTCAGGAAAGAATATTATTTTTAGTTACTGAACCAGGCTGTATTTATTTCACTTTGTACCAATCTTATCAGATAATCACAGACTATCTAATAAATTAGTTGATGAAAGAAGTTTGAAAAAGTAATTTAAAGCCATTAGAGGACATAGCACAAGCAAAAATACTGGGTTGGAAGATGGTATGATGCAAAGGGCTGAGAATTAAGGAGATTAGTTTGGATTGTTTGTTTTCTTCACAACTTTTAGAATTAAAACATTCGATTTTTTTTTTTTTTTTCAGTTAATTGTTTATTAGTTTTTTGATTATATGAGTGCAAAAATACAATATATAAAATTAAGTGTTATATTTAACATTTTTACATTTAGAAAAATTTTAAATACTGCAACAGAACTTAGAATAAATCTGTACTGCCATAGTAGATGGTTCACAATGGAACTAAAATTTTGCATAATATTCTAGGTATTTGTGCTAAAATGAGATTTATTATAACAAGAATTCATATTATAAAGGCCAATTAGTTGAGCGCTAAAAGTGTGCCCCTAAATAAGTAATAAAATGATATACATAATAAATAAAAATAGTTTATAGTATAAAAAGATTGATTTCATTCTTAAACATAAAAATATTTTTGGTGTTTACAGTTTTTACATATCAGATTTTGCCAATATTAACAACAAAACAATCTTTTATCTGTACAAACCAAAATGTGCATAATTTTAATTTTGGTTGCCTGGAGAATTGAATAATTGGTAAAAGTAAAAGTAGTTAATACACATCCAAGATATTAGGATTACAAGTTTTAAAACATTTTAAGATTAATCTAGAGCAGAAAAAAGTGAAAAACTTGTGTGTGAATTATGGTTATATTACTTTTACTTGCTTCCCTTGGTCGTTTCTGATAAAAAAAAAACATGTGAGGGCTTTTCTCAATTTTTTTTGGTTTGTTTTATCATAGTTTTGTTTATTTATTCTTTTCAAATTATCGAGATAATGATTGGCATTTTATGTGAAAAGTTTTTATAAACACAAGCAGTATATATATGTATATATGTATACATATATATATATATGTATACATATATATATATATATATATATATATATATATATATATATATATATATATATATATATATATATATATATATATATATATATATATATATATATATATATATATATATATGTATATATATATATATATATAAATATATATATATATATATATATATTATATATATATATATATATATATATATATATATATATATATATATATATATATATATATATATATATATATATATATATATATATATTAGCAGTAACCAAACCCTAATACGGCTTATTAGTAATTAAATCATTAATAACAAAAAAGTGTCTAATGTAAAATCAAATTAATAGACATTAACACTGCTTGACATTGAATTCTGGCAAGTAAGTTATCTGTTCATTGAGCAGAATTTCTTACATTTCAACAACAATTAATTTCATCTTGCCTAGATCTATCTCTTTTATTTGACAACAATTTTTTTCGCCTATTACTATTTACACTAATATCTTCGAGCCTTATATTATCCATCTGTTATTATTAAACATATTATCAGTAATAATCCTACTTTTACCACGTAAAAGAATTTTACGAATTGTGATCTTTTCTAATCGAAGACTATATTTTAACTTAAGATTTATTGATATCCATATTTTTTATAAATTTATATATTTAAGTCGTTTATTAAAAATATAAAACAAAATTTATTTACATTATTTTTAATTTAACAAAGAATCTAGACTACAATGCACGTTATGAACAAGTTATTTTTACCTTTGGCACAATTTTAATGCACAAAAATAATAACTTCAGAATCTTGTATAAAAAATGAAGCAATGTCAGTCAGTATATTTTCCTGTTAAGCAATATATGTATGTATGTATGTATGTATGTATGTATGTATGTATGTATGTATGTATGTATGTATGTATGTATGTATGTATGTATGTATGTATGTATGTATGTATGTATGTATGTATGTATGTATTTATGTATGTATTTATGTATGTATGTATGTATGTATGTATGTATGTATGTATGTATGTATGTATGTATGTGTGTATGTATGTATGTATGTATTTTTTTTTTTTTAGTATTGTATTTGCCGATTGAAAATAATTTACACTCGTAATTTATAAAAACAAATATTTACATGACTGGGGCTTGAAGAAGACAAAATTCATCTTATCATTAAGCCCCCCCAAAAAAATGCATATTCATCAAATAAAATATTTTAACAAAATGTAAAAAATAAAATATATAACGTTTAAAATATTTAGTAATTCAAAGAGTATTTATATTTAAGAACTGATTAGTAAAATAAGATGATATATAAGTATTAATATTACAAAAAGAATTTACAATAACTTTTTTTAATAAAAATTGAAATTATAAAATTTTACAATATTTTTAGTAATTAGTATTTCAAACAATAAAACTTAAAAAATCGTTTGTAAATTCAAAACTTATAAGATAAGAAATACATTAAAGAGTAATTAGTAGGTTAATTTTTGTTTTTGTTTGCTAGTTTAAAAAGCTTTTTAGAAGAACTTTAATTCATTTTCATGTATCATCAGTAATTGCTTAGGTTTTGTTTTAAACTGGTTTAAAGAATAATTAGATTTCAGCTCATTATTTAATATTGTATTCCACAGCTTAGGATCTCGATTTGCAATTGAGAATTTGGTTGCTGAATAATGTGTTTTGGATTAAATGTAATTGTTTTTTGAAAATCTGGTAGGGTATATGTGGTTTATTTTTTCAAAAAGTGAATTAAATAACATTGGTGATATTTTTTTATCAAGTTTAAACATGAAGATAAGAATATGGTAAAGGTTTAGTTTATATACATTTAGAATATTAAGTTTATTAAATAATGTTTTAGTGTGAGAGAAACGGTCTACGTTTGTAATTATCCTTATAGCCTGTTTTTGTTTACTAAACAGTTTTTTTACTTTTGTTGCGTTTGTGCTGCACCAAGCAACGTTTGCATAATTTAAGTAGCAATGAATTAAAGAAAAATATAAGTTTTTTAAACAAGATAGATTTAAAAACTGCTTGGCTTTATACAAAACACCTATATTTTTTGATATTTTATTTTCAATTAGACCTACGTGGTCCCTCCAGGTTAAATTTTTATCCAGAACCACACCTAAAAACTTTATTGATTGCTCTCTTTTTAATAATGCGTTATCAATAAAAAGATCAGGAAGTTTTAATGGAATATCTTGTTTTTTATGAAGACGATGGAACAAAGTGTATTTGGATTTATTGATGTTCAAAGATAGTTTGTTTGATTTGAACCATTGGGTTAATTTTTCAAGTTCTTTGTTTACTGTTGAAATAATTTACTGATATCTTTACTAGAATAAAACAAGTTTGTATCATCTGCAAACAAAATTAAGTTTAAAATGTTAGAAAATTTATATAAGTCATTAATTTAAACGAGAAATAAAAGTGGTCCTAAAATTGATCCTTGAGGAACACCACAGGTGATTGACTTATATTCCGTTTTTCCGCTATCATATGAAATAAACTGCTTTCTATTAGTCAAGTAACTATCAAACCAGGACAAATTAGTATTTATTATACCATAACTTTTCAGTTTGGATAGAAGAATTAGATGATTGACAGTGTCAAAAGCTTTACTTAAATCGATAAATACACCTAGGGTATACTTGTCTTCATCAAACCCTTTAAATATATCATGAACAAGGTGAGTGATTGCATGATCAGTTAAATGACCAGATTTAAATCCAAACTGTTTATGATAAAGAATATTATTAACATTTAAAAAGGAATATAGTCTATTATACATAACCCGCTCTAATATTTTAGAAAAACAAGAAAGAATTGAGATTGGTCTATAATTCGTAACATCGGAAGGATCACCTGATTTTAACACTGGAATTACTTTTGCAATTTTTAGGTTATCTGGAAAAACGCCTTGTTTTAGAGATAAATTAAAAATATGTAGTAATGGAATTGTAATTTATTTTATTGATTTGATAATGACATTACTACTTATATCATCAAATCCTAAACTTTTATTGGGTTTTAATAAAGAGACTGCGTCTAGTAATTCTTTTTCTGTAAGTTTATAATTAGACATAACATTAAGGTTGGTTGAGGTTAAGTACGAACTAAAGTGTGATTGAGTAGTTGCTATATTAGATGATAAAGTAGGACCTATATTTACAAAAAACTGGTTAAGTGTTTCAGCGACTAAGGATTTATTTACAATTTGTTTGTTATTAAATTTAAGATTTAGAGGAAGTAAATTTCTGTATAAGCTTTTTTTTCCAATTACCTCCTTAATAATATGCCAAGTTTTTTTAGAATCATTTTTGTGCTTTATTAATTGTTCAGAATAGTAACGTTTCTTTGAGCGTTTTAAGATTGACTCAAATAGCCGTTTATAGTTTTTATAGGTAGTTTCATTTTTAAGAGTTCTTTTTTTAAGAAACTTGTTATATAAGCGTTGTTGTTTTTTTGAAGATTTAAGAATGCCCTTCGTGATCCAAGGGTTTAAAAGTGTTTTTGTTTTGATTACTTTAGTAACTTCTG